GCGTCATGTCAGTCCATGGCCTCAACCGGCGTCGCGGCGGCTGCCCCTCACCGACCCGGGGTTCTCCCTGCAGACGCCTTGGCAACGCTGTCGTCGGCGCAGCCGCGGCGTCGCCACCGATTACGACGTTCCGCAGTGTTGCCAAACTGAGCGCCGCAAAACTGCGGTGTAAGTTCAAGCTTTGGTTCTGTATTACATAGAGTCCCTTTATACTGAGAGTCAAGACAATGTGAATCCATTTCTGATTGGCTCCCGTATTTTAGGCCTCCACAGTGTCACAAACGGGAATAAAGATTACATTTTCACCGATTGCAAAGATTACAATCTGGAGTGGACCAGGGAATTACGGGTTCGGCAAGGAACAAACGGAATGAGCGAAGGAACGGAGAAAGGAATTTGAGAATGGGCCGATCAAAGATTACGAAAAACTTTCAATTTGTGTAATCTTTATTCCCGTTTGTGACTCCATGAGGGGAAGGGGTTGTCTTGACTCTCAGTATAAAGGGACTCTAGTATTACATAGATCACAGGGCTGGATTAGCCGGTACCCCGGGCCTCTGCTATCACGCGGCGCGAGTAATTTTTTTTATTTCTTTTTACTTTTCTTCCGGATAATCTAGGGGTCATCGGAGTCTAAAAGACAGATTTGGAGAGGGCCTGGAATTTTAGGTGTCATAGGGCAAAAAACTTTCAAGATTTGAGACCGCTGTTGACCAGCATCTCAACTGCCGCGATAGCGAAGAGAGCCGTAAGTGCAAAATTTTCGAAATCGAGTTTTCTTCAAAATTCGTCTAAACTCTTTTAGATGAAATTACTGAGACAGCTAAAACAGCAAAATTCATCCTAATTTAATGAAAACGAGACGTATGAGAAAGCCGTAAGTGCACAAAAAATGATCTAGTTTTTTTCGAGATAGCCGCAGGTGCATGAGAGCCGATGAAAACAGGGCTTTCCAGTAAAGTGCCGCCCTCTTCTGCCAATTTCTAACCTGAAAATGTGTTTGTTGTGCGTCCAAAACGCAACCACGAAAGCATGTAGAAGATAGCATTTACGGCTGTCTTGCCTAACAATAACCCAACACGAAACTGAATTTTACCTTTTTTATGTACTTTAAAATCAAATCGGTCGAGTTTTAATCCCCCTAATGATTTCTAAGAGTCTTCCGGACGAATAGTGGCAATTTGACAAAGAACGGAGGCTTCTTTCAATAAAATGTTCCACTCAGAAGCTTCTGATCCCAACTTCATTTTTGCACTTACGGCTCTCTTCGCTATCATGGCAGTCAAGCCCCTGAGCGCGAAAACGGCCCTGCCTGTCGATGCCAGATATTGAAACGGCTCGGTGGATTTCTACAGATTACTTTGACAGGAAATTAAGATTTTGTAAACTAGAGGGCATAAGGAATTGGATAAGAAAGCAGGATCAAGTAAAAACAATACTTCCACTACCCGCGAGGGGAGCGAGAAAGTAAAAATCAACCACTCTCAACACTTTTCCGAGCTCGCGCGCGTCCACGATGACAGTGTCTTATTCCTCTACTTTTCTTATCCTGCGTTTAAGTCACGAAGCGGTCTTGCGCTGCACGGGCGGCGATGTTTTTTCCATTGCCGCTTACCTCACGTCAAAACTTCTAAGCCATTATAGCTGAACCGTTTATACTTTTACTTATTTCCCACAGGCATACAGTACAAAAGTATCCGACCTTAAGAATGAGCCCCGAGCAGTATTGTATGCACAGCATTTTTTTTAAAAAAAAAAAAAAATAAATAAATAAATAAAAAGAAATTGGACGATTTTGAAAAGACGCTAGGTAATCGAGTTGATTCCTTTCTGCCAAAGGTATTCCAAATCACTCAACGTTTTTCCTGCCTCGAGACACGAAGCGTCTCTCAGAGTGTGACCCTACTAGATCGAATTTATTGGATCTGTTAGCCGATACAAATAGACTATACGTCGTGCCAGGTCCTAGGCGTGGTCATATTAGCGGGCCATCACATCTGACAATTCAAAAATCTTAGCAGATTTTGACTTTTTAGCTCAAGAAATGATGACTAGCCCTGCGCTTGAGCTTGAAGAATCACCCCAGGCGAAAACATCGCACAACTCGAAGCGTTAAAACAGGATTTTGCCACAGCAACGCATTGCATGAGACCCAAAAATCTATCCCTGTAAAAGCAATGCTTTTTAGTGGCCAAATCCTGCTTCCATCCCTCCGGATGTTGCTAATTGTTTCGTTTCGTATGATAACCTTCTGAAACTATTTTTTCATAGCGTACATTTCTTTCTCCTTGACAAGATTCCTAGCGTATGCGCCGTAATTATCCTCCTCATCACGAGGAAAAACTTTACTCTCCATGAAACAAGTTTTACTTATTCGAAGCTCTTTTCAAATTAAGGTTGCAAAGCTTTTTCAATGCTTGATGATTTTGTGGTTACTTCCTATTTTTATAGGTTTTTATCGACTAGGAGAGCTGCAAGGACACTCGTCTTATAGGTCTTTCTCTCAAGTTCACCGAATGCCCGTTTGCAATCTGTTGGCAGTGGCGTTGGTAGCGATTGAATGGGGGAAAGTTCGCAAAAATTCCATACGCTTAAAATGTTCTTTCCCGCGAGAATTTGACCGGAAACGCACAAACTGAGAGTTTGATGAGCCACTCCGGATGTTTCTGGGAACTTTCCCGTTCCCGTTCCCGTTCCCGTTCCCGTTCCCGTTCCCGTTCCCGTTCCCGTTCCCGGAATTCGATTAGTAGCGTGGCGTGCTCTGCGATGTATCGATTGATCTGCCATTTAAACTTATGGGAAAGGATCGATAGACAGGGTGTTCGCAGCGAACGCCTCAATAATCGATTCTTTACCATAGCTTTCAATGGGGAACTATCGATAATCGATCACTCACGCCTCGCCACTATCACTGCTCTCTGCCTGCTTCTAGAGTACCTGCATACGGGAGACTATTACCATCTCTGTGCCGCTCTCTGATTGGTTCATCAGTTTTAGGCTATCACGGAGCTCCAAAGTTGGCTCAATGTGAACAAACCCGACCGAGGGGAACACATATTATCCTCTGAGAAATGAATGATAATCACACTCAAAGCTTAATTTTCGGCAAGTACTCATCAAAGTTCGATCTGAACTCAATTTTGAAGTTGGATATAAAAAATTTCTATCACACCCAAAATCACGTCTAGAATTTTGTCGCTATCTTGAATGTTCACATTGTGCCAAACCAGGAGCGGAGGGGCTGGGGTTTCTTCACATTGGTCCAACTTTGGGGTTCCATGATAGCCGACCAATCAGAGAGCGGCACACTTTTGCTGTAGTAAAAGGATCGAGATGGCAATACTCTCCCGTATATAGGAACTCTAGACTCTCCAGTCCAGAATTTCTGTTAACGCAAAAACTGAGACTCCTTATTATTAGTGACTAAAATCGAGCTGAATCACTTCTGTATAAGCTGGGATGCATATCAGTACACTGAAAAAAAATTCTCGGCGTTTTTACCACGATCCGTTGGTACCTTTACCGTCTCACTTTTTTTTACCAATTACTGGTAATTTTATCAAGACAGACTGGTAAGCTTACCTAAAAACCGGTATTTTTACTGTTTTTTCAGGTAAGAATACCACTTTTATTGGTAATCAATTCCCGGTAACTTTGCCATTTTATCTCAGTAATTCTACCACAGTCGATAAAAAATATTGGCGTTTATACCAAGGTCCAGTAAAATTACCGAGAAAGTTCAAGAACATTACCGAGATTTCTCGGTAAAATTACCAATTCCATAAATGGTAATTTTACCAAGAAAAAACTGGGATCAAATAGAACCCTGGATTCTTGGTAATTTTACCCTTTTCTTAGTAAATACACCAAGATTTTTTTTTTTTTCAGTGTAACTAAAATCGAGCCGAATCGCTTCTGTATAAGCTGGGATGCGATGCCGGCCCTCAGTAGAAATACTACCATCAGCACACATCTGACCATGGCTCTGACCTTGGTGCGTGACATTTAAAGCATGACTTACCTTCAAATCGAAAGCTTTGAAGTGATAGAATTCGGTGGGGTCTTCTCTGTGCATATTTATGTAATCATGTCATCCGGGACATTTGAACAGGGTTGTTACCTAAAATTCGGTCCGGCTGCTTGGAGTGCTCCGGCACAGTGCTAACTGGGTAAGCGAAAGTTTCAGGCCTCTCATCCGCGTTCGCGGCGACCGCATCAGCTTGCTCAGGTCCTCGGGCGCTTTTTTGTGCGGCCCCGAACACCGCTGCCAACTGTGCTGTTGCCGATTTTTCTGCCTGTGCCGTCATTTCTTTGGGCATGATTTTGTTCTGAGCTCTTGCGAACATCTTGCCCCGGTTGAATGGACGCTATTTTCTGCAAATTGATTTTAAAAGGCGAGACGGCGAGACTAGTGTTTGTACTTTACATTATGTTTTCAGATTTTTTATCGGAAAAAAATTTTCTGGTAAAGTTATGAATATTTTCCTTCCTATTTTTCAGATAATTTTGTTCGCAATTTCACCTAAAGATTCTGAGAATTTAAAGGAAAAATACTCATAGCTTTCCTCAAAAATAAACGTATTATCGAAGTAAATGGCAACTCTCGAATGTTCACACGGCGTTCTTCCCTATCACGGCAGTACGGTCCCCTCGTGCACGTCAAGTGATTTTAGGGTAAGCTAAAATAGGAGGGGGGGGGGCTAGTTTTTTCATCGCAATGCTTAACTTGTTGTCCTACCTAGTGGTCCCTCGGACGAAACCTTCAAAAGGAATGCGTGACATTGCATCCACCTACGATGCATCCACCCTTATCTAACTTCTTATCCTAACCTAATCTAACTTAACCTAACCCAACCTAACCTAACCTAACCTAACGGCTGGGTGGATGCAACGTCCCGAGCCCCTTCAAAAGAGTCAAATCTTGAAACGAAATTGGCTTGTTAGAGGTATACCTATGTGAGTTTTTATTACTAACAACGTTGTGATTTTCGGTGTTTCAGGAGTGTGAACCATGCATGGACTGTTGCTTTTACTGGCGTTTATTGTGCTGACGCTAGAACCAGTGATGCGGGTTTCGGGCTCGCCGACCCCGGAATCCGCGGCCGTGATCGAAGCCAACCTCCTCTCATTACTCGGCATGTCGCGACGCCCCAAGATGGACCGCGAGAAACTCAGGCGCCGGGCTGCCATCCCCGCCGTCATGATGCAGCTATACAAACAGCAGACCAATCAGGAGCTCGACACAGCCACACTCCCCCTCCCCGGCCGACACATCCGATCCGCCAACACAGTCACCACTTTCACGCACACAGGTGAGCACACATCATCATTTTCATTCCGACTCGACACGGAAAAAATTAAATTTCTGATTTAACAATGCAATCGCTAAAAAAAAGTGACTGCAATGTTTCAATGTAGATTTTACAACAAAAAAATGCTACTTTAACCACCCCCGTGGTTAAATTAGCTTACGATAGTGGTTAAAGTAGCATTCTCTTGTTATAATAAATTCTACATTGAAACATTACAGTCACTTTTTTTTAGCAATTGAATTGTTAAATCAGCAATTTACTTTTTTCCGTGCAACTCCAACAACAGGGCGGCATGAAATAAGAGGAACCTATAAGTTTCCGTGAAATATTTCATAAAATTTAACGAGGATCTACAGTTTATGAAATGTATGTATATATGTATCACCTGCTTGTATGTACGCTTTACCTAAGATTTTATGCAAGAACTTTAGGCCGGCTTCCCTTAACTACTTCACCATTAATTCATTTTTTGTGAGTTCAGTCTACTGATGCTCCAATTCGATGATCCTGCAGCGATCAGTAATTCCTGGAGTATTTTCTACAAGCTTTGGGTCCTGCCTCACCGGGTTCTAAACTAGCCGTTGGTTGATTTAAAATTCTGACTTGACTTTTTTATAACTCTTCTAAGAAAAGAGAAAATAAAAATATGTTGGGATGCGCGCTCGAATTTTTTCAGAAGTGACGCGAAGTTAAGTTTCCTAAAATCAGAGGAAGCAGGGCCCACAGCTCACATTTATAGACGGCAACGTTGTGACGTATTTAGACACTCAAAACACTATTCAGAAAATTGAGAATGTCGCGATGAAAATCAGCAATAATAAATTGGTCACTTCATCGGCACGATAGGCAACGCCGAATTTCAGTTACGGTGCAAGAGCAACAAGCGAAGCACCCGTAGATAGTTTCGATCGCGATAAACTCTCATTGTAACTTTTGGATGCAACTATTCGAACTCTATGGATGTCCGTGTTGCATACTCACAGGTATGAAGGCGTTTTTACTGTCCAGGCACTCATCACTGCACCCACGTCCCGTACCCCGTACCGCCGCACAATGGGTCGAGTCAATAGGAGAGGTAGGACATACTTTAAAAACTTTAAAAGTGTATATCTTCATCAATATGAAATGTTGGTGTTTTAAAAGTGGATTCATTGGTTTTCTTGTAAAATTTTCTATGAAAAGCACCCATTCAAATTAAAAACTCTGACGAGGTAAACGTAACGTTTCGCAATTTTTGTCAAAAATGTCATGTCCGACTTCTTCCGAAGACTCTTTTCACTGTGCGTCGCGGCTTACCGCCAACGGCGGGCTTTTCTGCAAGGATCCAAAATGGCTCAGCGCTTTCAATTTTTCGTTTGTACGTCATTGCCATCTTTTAACTTTTAAATTCTACTCTAAAGTTGGCTGCAGGTGCTTGACACAAAACCATTAAAAAACTGAAAATAAAAAATTAAATTCTTAAGTTTTTACCGGCGTAGCTTTTCTCTGATTGAATTCGCGTTAGGATTAAAACCTCCGAACTTCTAGATAACCAGACACTTTTATGTTTTCTATAATTTTTGACCCCGCCACGCGGTAGCAATGAAAAAAAAAATACCTGCAATCATCCCCTGCTTGTATGAAGTGCAAAAGCTTGGAATTCAATTCATCGTGCATAAAGTACCACGGTGTCAATTCAGGATTGTGATTTCGAGAGCTTAAATTGAAATCGTGCGTAGGAACCAGGGCCGGATTAAGGGGATGGCCACATAGGCCGTGGCCCATGGCGGCAAATCTAAGGGGCGGCAAAAATTTGCGATTTTTTAACGTTTGGGTATAAAAAAAAATGGACTTTATAAAAAAAATTACTAGCGAGAATAGGCGTCAAAATCTCTCATTTCCTGAGAGTATAGTAATTTCTGATTTTATCGTCTCTTAGTGATACAAGAGACAGCACCCTCAATAAGTCGAGTTACGAGAGAAACCAAACACGCAATTTGGCCTAGAACGCCTAGGCGGGACTTAAAGAGAAATGATACCGAGGACTTGAGATGAAAAGGAGAAGCCCTCGGTGCGGCGATCGGCATGTAACACATATTAGCGCCTCAAGACTGCACGAATACTTCACGCATTGCATCAAACACAGTTCGGTCATTGCGGTTAGCGTGAAACGGATAGCGCCTACAAGAATGCATGGATACTTCAAGCATTCCGCCAAACACAGTGCGGTCAGCGTGAAACGCATAGCGCCTACAAGACCGCGTGAATACTTCACACATTGCGTACAACACGGTGCGGTCTGCGCGGCGCGGCGGCGGAAGTTAAAATTATTGAACCACATTTATGTTTGTTCTTTCATAATTTTTTCGTTCATCTCTTATGAATGGAAGGCCTTGTCCACACAAAGATAGGTTTACGGAACTTAACTTTCGCGCAAAGTTTCGTGAACTTTTGCTAGAAGTGTTGACAGGGCTCTCCTAAAAAATGTGTTCAACACGAGTAAGTGCGTCTTATGCACCCCTCCCCTCCGGCACGTTCATTTGATGACTTTTATCGAGTTTCAAAACGAATGAGAAGGGGGCGGCAAAACATAGGCGGCCCATGGGCGGCAAGTAGCTGAATCCGGCCCTGGTAGGAACTCATGGCCTGAGAAAATTTGATATTGTTATTGTTAGACTGCGTGTGTATGAATTCTGACAACCCATCTTCTGCACGTATGGCATTGATGTAAAAAATCATCAATTTTCCAAAAATTGTCACGAAACATTTTAATGCAAGTAATAGGACGGTAGACAAAAGGAAAATGAAAAGCAGAAATCCCCAAAAAATTGTCGGTATGAAACACGCGTCTACTAACGAAGGAAAGGTGTAATTTCGCAGCGTGTAAATTCAATAAAGTATGTATGATTTTGACTCCTTTCAATGAGAGTGCAATAATAAGTCATTAGAAAAGGTGCGAATAAAAATCAAGTAGCTTATTTATCTTCCGAAAGTTCGAGTCAATAACGATATATTCAACAAAAACTACAGAGATTTGGTTCTAGGCTAGAGAGTGACGCCATAATTTGAGAAATTTATTAATTTGAAAGAGACCCCGCCTCCTTGTTTGATCCGGCATGGAACTGAAATTTTAGTTTTAATCATAGTCCAATTCTAGAGAGACAGAGCGTCGAGAAATACTTTAACTCAAAGTCCTCCTATACTGGTTCAACACGTGGTTATTGAAATTATGTCGATTTCAGACGGCAAGTAGCAGAGAGACTCTGTGCTAATGGTCTCGCATAGAGTTAGACGTATATATTAGGACTTACTTATGACTGATCCCGTGTTGAGCAATCCCAAATGAAATCAACGGTCTTGTTGACAAACAAGTCTTATTCTCAAAAGTTGCTTCATCAAATGTACAAGTTGACATTTATCATTCATCGTTAGGCAATGATGAGTTGTCCGCTATGAGGAAATATGAAATCCTGGAAAGTAACGTTTGTCTCGACCGCTTCTGATACATACCTAAATAAATCACAAGATTATGATCTCAGGAATATTTTTTCCTTCAGAATATCTGGACTAGAAATCATAACACCTACATTCCTCTTAGATGGGGGAACCGGGGAACCCTTTCGCCAAAATTGACGAACTAAGATTTCGCCCCTTCAGACGCTCGATACATGGGCTTTTCAACAATTATGTATGAGGGAACTGGCATTAATATATTTTTGATTTTGCCAGTACAACCCTATTTTGTCTCTCGAGCAACCCCGACTCTGAATGAATCCGTCTACAGGATTTCCCAGAGTACCCGTACTAGGTTTTTTCCTCGGTTGATTTAGGTCGGACGAAGACGGGATTTGAATGGGGATCGACCCGAGGAATCCGAATTTCATGGTCTCAAAAATAGAGGGCACAATTTCCCCCGTCTTTTGAAACTTTGCCTTCTCCATTTATCCCTTTGGGAGAGTGGGGGGCTTCGGGACCATAAAAATCGAATTCCTTAGGGTCAATTACCTGGTGATCCACACTGAGAAAAAGCTATGGTTTATAAACCTATTAGTGGTAAATATGGAACACCTATAATAGTCGTAAATAAACTAATGATNCGAATTTCATGGTCTCAAAAATAGAGGGCACAATTTCCCCCGTCTTTTGAAACTTTGCCTTCTCCATTTATCCCTTTGGGAGAGTGGGGGGCTTCGGGACCATAAAAATCGAATTCCTTAGGGTCAATTACCTGGTGATCCACCTTTATCCGGAGAATCTGCGTCAATTTTTGACCAAAGGGAAATTATGGAGGGGGCCACCGTCTCCCACTTCAAGTAATCATTTTTGGGCGTAAAGTGGTCCGATTTGGAATTTTTAGGGGTCGTTTTCTCGTGAAATTTTCTGTACTTTTCAATTCCAATGAAATCTAATCGAAATTCGATCGAGAACCCCGAATTTTAAGATCGTGATCCCCCCTAAACCTCCCAAGGGGAGCCGGAGGATTTTTGAGACCATGAAATTCGGATTCCTTGGGGTCGATTCCCTATTCAACTCCGAGGTCCCCGCTTCGTCCGACCTAAATCAACCGAGAAAAAGGCCTGATACGGGTGCTCTGGGACACCCTGGGTATTCTGAACAACTCCCAGAGGTTCTTATCCACATAAAAATTGTTGGCCTCAGCGAAAAAGAGGTTCAGCGGGGCCTTCCCCAGCCTTCTCATTGGCAGCAATGGAAATTAGGGTATCGAAGAGCCCTTTTGAGGCATTCAGTTCGAGCCCTCAGGAGAGGCCCTCCATTAACCTCTTAACCTCTTGGCGATAGGTGGAAACTTCTACTTCTAGAGATTCAATATTTCGTTATGGAGAATCCTTTGGCAGCAACAGTTATCACCATTGTTTTGGCTATTGACCTACCCACTTGATGTTGATGAGCTTCGGGCGACGCAATTTGCGTCAAACAATTGGTATACAAACTTCACCCTCTTTTCCCCTACGGAATGCTCAACACGTTGTTAAACACCCTCCTTGTGGGTAAGTCAACAA